GTACCTCCTTAGGCTGGGATAGCGGTAGACGTGTAAGTCCCACCAGGATAGGAGTCTGTACCTCCTTAGGCTAGGGTAGCGGTGGACGTGTAAGTCCCGTCAAGATAGGAGGCTGTACCTCCTTAGGGTAGGGTAGCGGTGGAGGTGTAAGTCGCACCAAGATAGGAGTCTGTACCTCCTTAGTTTGTGTCAGCGGTGGACGTATAAGTCCCACCAAGATAGGAGACTGTACCTCCTTAGGCTAGGGTAGCGGTGGACGTGTAAGTCCTGTCAAGATAGGAGTCTGTACCTCCTTAGTTTAGGGTATTGGTGGACGTGTAAGTCCCACCAAGATAGGAGTCTGTACCTCCTTAGGCTAGGGTAGCGGTAGATGTGTAAGTCCCGTCAAGATAGGAGTCTGTACCTCCTTAGGCTGGGATAGCGGTAGACGTGTGAGTAAGTCCCGCCAAGATAGGAGACCGTACCTCCTTAGGCTGGGATAGCGGTAGACGTGTAAGTCCCACCAAGATAGGAGTCTGTACCTCCTTAGGCTAGGGTATCGGTGGACGTGTAAGTCCTACCAAGATAGGATTCTGTACCTCCTTAGGCTAGGGTATCGGTAGACGTGTAAGTCCTACCAAGATAGGAGGTTGTACCTCCTTAGGCTAGGGTAGAGGTAGACGTGTAAGTCGCACCAAGATAGGAGGCTGGTACCTCCTTAGGCTAGGGTAGCGGTAGACGTGTAAGTCGCACCAAGATAGGAGGCTTTACCTCCTTAGGCTAGGGTATCGGTAGACGTGTAAGTCCTACCAAGATAGGAGGCTGTACCTCCTTAGGCTAGGGTAGCAGTAGACGTGTAAATCCCACCAGGACAGGAGGCTGTACCTCCTTAGGCTAGGATAGCGGTAGATGTGTAAGTCTCACCAAGATAGGAGTCTGTTCCTCCTTAGGCTAGGGTAGCGGTAGATGTGTAAGTCTCACCAAGATAGGAGTCTGTTCCTCTTTAGGCTAGCGGTAGACGTGTAAGTCCCACCAAGATAGGAGTCTGTACCTCCTTAGGCTAGGGTAGCAGTGGACGTGTAAGTCCCGCCAAGATAGGATTCTGTACCTCCTTAGGCTAGGGTAGTGGTTGTTGTGTAAGTCCCACCAAGATAGGAGTCTGTACCTCCTGAGGGTAGGATAGCGGTAGACGTGTAAGTCCCGCCAAGATAGGAGTCTGTACCTCCTTAGGCTAGGATAGCGGTGGATGTGTAAGTCCCACCAAGATAGGAGTCTGTACCTCCTTAGGCTAGGGTAGCCGTGGACGTGTAAGTCCCACCAAGATAGGAGTCTGTACCTCCTTAGGCTAGGGTAGCGGTAGACGTGTAAGTCCCACCAAGATAGGAGTCTGTACCTCCTTAGGCTAGGGTAGCGGTAGACGTGTGAGTAAGTCCCGCTAAGATAGGAGTCTGTACCTCCTTAGGCCAGCGGTGGACGTGTAAGTACCACCAAGATAGGAGTCTGTACCTCCTTAGGCTAGGGTAGCGGTGGATGTGTAAGTCCCACCAAGATAGGAGTCTGTACCTCCTTAGGGTAGGGTAGCGGTAGACGTGTAAGTACCACCAAGATAGGAGACTGTACCTCCTTAGGCTAGGGTAGCGGTGGACGTGTAAGTCCCACCAAGATAGGAGTCTGTGCCTCCTAAGGCTAGGGTAGCGGTGGACGTGTAAGTCCCACCAAGATAGGAGTCTGTACCTCCTTAGGCTAGGATAGCGGTGGACGTGTAAGTCCCACCAAGATAGGAGTCTGTACCTCCTTAGGCTAGGGTAGCGGTGGACGTGTAAGTCCCACCAAGATAGGAGGCTGTACCTCCTTAGTTTAGGGTATTGGTGGACGTGTAAGTCCCACCAAGATAGGAGGCTGTACCTCCTTAGGCTAGGGTAGCGGTAGACGTGTGAGTAAGTCCCACCAAGATAGGAGTCTGTACCTCCTTAGGCTAGGGTAGCAGTGGACGTGTAAGTCCTACCAAGATAGGAGTCTGTACCGCCTTAGGATAGGGTAGTGGTGGACGTGTAAGTTGCACCAAGATAGGAGTCTGTACCTCCGTAGGCTAGGGTAGCGGTAGACGTGTAAGTCCCGTCAAGATAGGAGGTTGTACCTCCTTAGGCTAGGGTAGCGGTAGACGTGTAAGTCCCACCAAGATAGGAGGCTGTACCTCCTTAGGCTAGGATAGCGGTGGACGTGTAAGTCCCACCAAGATAGGAGTCTGTACCTCCTTAGGCTAGGATAGCAGTAGACGTGTAAGTCGCACCAGGATAGGAGGCTGTACCTCCTTAGGCTAGGGTAGCGGTAGACGTATTAGTCCCACCAAGATAGGAGTCTGTACCTCCCTAGGCTAGGGTAGCGGTAGACGTATTAGTCCCACCAAGATAGGAGTCTGTACCTCCTTAGGCTAGGATAGCGGTGGACGTGTAAGTCCCACCAAGATAGGAGTCTGTACCTCCTTAGGCTAGGGTATTGGTGGACGTGTAAGTCCCGCCAAGATAGGAGTCTGTACCGCCTTAGGATAGCGGTGGACGTGTAAGTCCCACTAAGTCTGGAGGCGGTACCTCCTTAGGTATCAAGGAGACCTGTTTGTAGGTCTCGCTGAGTCTGGAGGCTGTACCTCCTTAGGGTATCGGGTGAGGGGACCGTATACCCCTTTGTGTGTTGAGGACTTTGTAAGAAAGGAATTGCAATAGACAGAGTGTGCCTCCTAAGAAGTTTATTCGTCTTCATGAACACTACGATACCATCAGTCGACCTGGGCTCTGGGTTGTTCTTCGTGCTTTTGGGGTCCCTGACCCCCTGCTCACGATCATTAAGGACCTTCATGATGGTGAGCGGGCGCGGGTAAAACTACGTGGCCGGGAGTCAGAGCCATTCCCTGTACGCCTTGGGGTGCGACAGGGATGTCCTCTGGCTCCCACATTATTTAACATCTATTTTGACCACGTAGTTCGTGAAGCATTCAATAGCTGTACCGGGGGAATCTCCATTTGGTACAGATATAATGGGAGGCTGATCGATGCCCGGGTGCGGTCAAGGGATGGTTCCCTATTGCTCAACCACGTTGTGTATGCCGATGATGTGGTAATAGCTGCTCATTCAGAGGAGGAATTGGAGACGCTGCTGCTGAGACTGGAGCGTGCCACTAAGAGATGGGGCCTTACCATCAGCCCCACCAAAACTAAGCACCTGCCTGGGTATTTTGTGCCATCGGACACTCCACCCCCACAACTCCCAATCGGTGATGGGGCAGTTGTGGAGAGAGTGGAGAGTTTCCCATACCTGGGCATTGTGCTTATGACTGGCTCCAGTTAACAGCAGAGGTCTCACTCCAAATCAGTCGAGCGGCAATATCTTTTCATCGGTTGCGTAACGCTGTGTGGAAGCTACCTGGTCTGTCGCTCCGCACTAAGCTTCAGGTCTTCTCGGCCACGGTCATTCCCTCCCTTCTCTACGCTTGCGAAACGTGGACCCCCTTAATGGAACATCTTTGACCGGTTAGAAACATTTAGGCTAGCCTGCCTACGATCCATCCTGGGTTTAACCAAGCTGGATTGTGTGATGAGCTCACAAATCCTTGAAAGATCTGGGCAAGGTCCCATCGGTGAGCTCCTCCGGCGGGCAAGGCTGCGATGGCTGGGTCATGTAGCCCACATGCCCAGCCACCGCATGCCCAAACAGCTTTTGTTCGGCTGGATCGAGGATCGAGGGGGCTAAACGGGCGCGGCACGGGCTAGAGAAGAGATGGAGTGACGTGGTACAGGAGGACGTGGAGCTGAGTGGACTTGCCGATGACTGGTACCAGCGGTGTCAAGATCGGCCTCTGTGGAGGAGGCTCGTGAAGGATGCTACTGGGCAGTTGGAGGTAGTCGCCCTCCAACAACAACGGAGGGCGGAGGAGCGACGCTCACAACAACGAGCGTAGCGCTGGGCGGCTAAAGCACAGGAAGTTGGCACAGTAGGGGGCACAGGTGTTGCATCAGCCAGTCATCTCAGTCATCTCAGTCGACCCGTGGCACCTGGGTCTGCCCCGTGACCTCCTGCCAGCGGGCGTTCGACACTTCACGTGGCCTCAAGGTGCACATGGCCTGGCACAAGCGTCGTGGTGACGTCACCGCCACTTAGTGGCGAATGGCGGTTGTTGTTGTTGTGTCTGTGTGTGTCTGTGTGTATGTATCTGTGTGTATGTATCTGTGTGTATGTATCTGTGTGTATGTGTCTGTATGTGTTTGTATGTGTATGTGTCTGTGTATGTGTGTGTGTCTGTGTGTGTGTGTTTGAAGTGTAGTGGTGAGTGGGTGGGTGAGTTGGTGGGCGGGTGAGTAAGTGAAAGGGTGAGTGATTGGGTGAGTGAATTAATGAGTGGGTGAGTGAATGAATGAGTGAGTGAATCATTGGGTGAGTGAATGAATGAGTGGGTGAGTGAGTGAATGAGTTAATGGGTGAATGGGTGAGTGAGTGAATGAGTGAGTGAGTGAATGAATGAGTGAGTGAATGAGTGAGTGAATGAGTGAGTGAATGAATGAGTGAATTAATGAGTGGGTGAGTAAGTGAATGCGTGAGTGAATGGGTGGGTGAATGAGTGAGTGAATTAATGAGTGAGTGAATGAGTGAATTAATGAGTGGGTGAGTAAGTGAGTGAGTGAGGGAATGAATGAGTGAGTGAATGGGTGAATGAATGAGTGAATGAGTGAGTGAATGAATAAATGAGTGGGTGAGTGAGTGAATGAGTGGGTGAATGAGTGAGTGAAAGAGCTAATGAATGAGTGGGTGAGCGAGTGAATGAATGAGTGAATGAGTTAATGAATGAGTGGGTGAGCGAGTGAATGAGTGAATGAATGAGTGGGTGAGCGAGTGCTCTCTCCACTGCTACGTGGTTCCACCCCAACGTTTCGGGCAAGGCAGCTGCTGCAGTAGAATGTTGTTGTTGTTGTGATGGCTGTTGTTGTTGTTGTTGTGATGGCTGTTGTTGGTGTTGTTGTTGTTGACGCGTGTGTCTGTGTGCTCTCTCCACTGATAGGTGGTTCCACCCCAACATTTCGGGCAAGGCAGCTGAGCAGCTGTTGCTGCTGCACGGAGTGAATGGAAGTTTCCTGGCGAGACCGAGCCTCAGTAATCCTGGGGACTTCACTCTCTCAGTCAGGTACACCATGCCGCTGTGTGTGACTGTGTGTGACTGTGTGTGACTGTGTGTGACTGTGTGTGTGTGACTGTGTGTGACTGTGTGTGACTGTGTGTGTGTGACTGTCTGTGTGTGTGTGACTGTGTGTGTGTGTGTGACTGTCTGTGTGTGTGTGACTGTGTGTGTGTGACTGTGTGTGACTGTGTGTGTGTGACTGTGTGTGACTGTGTGTGACTGTGTGTGACTGTGTGTGTGTGACTGTCTGTGTGTGTGTGTGTGACTGTGTGTGTGTGACTGTGTGTGTGTGACTGTGTGTGTCTGTGTGTGTGTGTGAGACTGTCTGTGACTGTGTGTGACTGTGTGACTGTGTGTGACTGTGTGTGTGTGACTGTGTGTGTGACTGTGTGTGACTGTGTATGACTGTGTGTGTGACTGTGTGTGTCACTGTGTGTGTGACTGTGTGTGTGATTGTGTGTCACTGTGTGTGTGTGACTGTGTGTGTGACTGTGTGTGACTGTGTGTGTGACTGTGTGTATGTGTGTGTGTGTGTGTGACTGTGTGTGTATGTGTGTGTGTCACTTTGTGTGTCACTGTGTGTTGGTGTCTGTGTGTGTGTGACTGTGACTGTGTGACTGTGTGTGTGTGACTGTGTCTGTGTGTGTGTGTGACTGTGTGTGACTGTGACTGTGTGTGTGTCTGTGTGTGTCTGTGTTTGACTGTGTGTGACTGTGTGTGACTGTGACTGTGTGTGTGTTTCTGTGTGTGTGTCTGTGTGTGTGTGTGACTGTGTGTGACTGTGTGTGTGTGTGACTGTGTCTGTGTGTGTGACTGTGTGTGACTGTGTGTGTCTGTGTGTGTGTGTTTCTGTGTGTGTGTGTCTGTGTGTGTCTGTGTGTGTGTGTGACTGTGTGTGACTGTGTGTGTGTGACTGTGACTGTGTGTGACTGTGTGTGTCTGTGTGTGTGTGTGTGACTGTGTCTGTGTGACTGTGTGTCTCTGTGTGTGTGTCTGTGTGTCTGTGTGTGTGTGTGTATCTGTGTGTTACTGTGTATGTGTTTGTGTGTGTGTCTGTGTGTGTGTCTGTATATCTGTGTGTGTGTGTCTGTCCGATGCCCGGGTGCGGTCAAGGGATGGCTCCCTATTGTTCAACCACGTTATGTATGCCGATGATTTGGTAATAGCTGCTCATTCAGAGAAGGAGTTGGAGACGCAGCTGCTGAGACTGGAGCGTGCCACTAAGAGATGGGGCCTTACCATCAGCCCCACCAAAACTAAGCACCTGCCTGGGTATTTTGTACCATCGGACACTCCACCCCCACAACTCCCAATCGGTGATGGGGCAGTTGTGGAGAGAGTGGAGAGTTTCCCATACCTGGGCAGTGTGCTTATGACTGGCTCCAGTTTAACAGCAGAGGTCTCACTCCGAATCAGTCGAGCGGCAATATCTTTTCATCGGTTGTGTAACGCTGTGTGGAAGCTACCTGGTCTGTCGCTCCGCACTAAGCTTCAGGTCTTCTCGGCCACGGTCATTCCCTCCCTTCTCTACGCTTGCGAAACGTGGACCCCCACACACACACACTCCACACACACACACACCCACATTCACACACACACACACCCCACACACACACCCACATTCACACCACCACCACCCACCCACACACACAAACATACTCCCATTCACACACACCCCACACCCACACACCCCACTCACACACCCCCCACTCACACACCCCCACACGCACTCCCCACACACACACACCCCCATTCACACACACACACACACACTACCCACTCACACACCCACACACCCCCATTCACACACAAACCACCCACACACCCCCACTCACACACCCCCACTCACACACCCACACCCAAACACCCCACCCACCCCACCACCACCACCCACCCACACACATCCCACACCCACACACCACCCACACCCACACACCCCACACCCCACACACATACACACCACTTACACACTCCCACACCACTCACACACCCACACACCCACACCCAAACACCCCACCCACACCACCACCACCACCCACCCACACACATCCCACACCCACACACCCCACTCACACACACCCCACACCCACACACATACACCCCACACACATACACACCACTTACACACTCCCACACCACTCACACACCCCCACTCACACCCAAACACCCCACACCCACACCACACACCACCCACACACCACCCACACACCCCCACCCACACCACCACCACCACCACCACCCCCACCCACACACCACCACCACCCACACACCCCACACACCACTACCCACCCCACACCACCACAACCCACACACACACACCACCACCCACACACCCCACACACACACCACCCACACCACCACCACCACCACCACCCACACACCACCACCACCCGCACCACCACCCCCCCACTCCACCACACACCACCACCACACCCACGCACTCCCCACACACCACACCCACACACATCCACACCCACACACCCACACTCACACACCCACACGCACTCCCCACACATATCCCACCCACACACCACTCACACCACCACCACCACCACCACACACCCCACACACACCCACACACACACACACACTACCCACACACCACCCACACACCCCACACCCACACACCACCCACACACCACCACCACTCACCCCCCCACTCCACCACACACCACCACCACCACACACCACCCACACACCACCCACACACCCACACACCCACACACCACCCACACACCCACACACCACCCACCCACACACCCACTCACACACCCACCCACCCCCACACCCAAACCCCCCCCCACCCCCCCACACACCCCCCCACCCCCCCCCCACCCCCCCACACCACACCCCACCCCCCACCCCCCCCCCACCCCCCCACCCCCACACCCCCCCACCCCCCAGACGAGCGGGTGGCGTGGTGACCCACGTGAAGATCCAGAACACGGGGGACTACTACGACCTCTACGGGGGTGAGAAGTTCGCGACGCTCGCTGAGCTGGTGGAGTACCACACCCAGCACAGCGGGCAGCTGAGGGAGCTGAGTGGTGACGTCATCGCCCTCGTGCAGCCCCTCAACAGCGCTGACCCCACGTCTGAGAGGTCAGGAGGTCACGGCGGAGGTGTAGAGGTCACGGGGCAGGAGTTAGAGGTCACGGTGGAGTACCACACCCAGCACAGCGGGCAGCTGAGGGAGCGGAGTGGTGACGTCATCGCCCTCGTGCAGCCCCTCAACAGCGCTGACCCCACGTCTGAGAGGTCAGGAGGTCACGGCGGAGGTGTAGAGGTCACGGGGCAGGAGTTAGAGGTCACGGTGGAGTACCACACCCAGCACAGCGGGCAGCTGAGGGAGCGGAGTGGTGACGTCATCGCCCTCGTGCAGCCCCTCAACAGCGCTGACCCCACGTCTGAGAGGTCAGGAGGTCACGGCGGAGGTGTAGAGGTCACGGGGCAGGAGTTAGAGGTCACGGGGCAGGAGTTAGAGGTCACGGTGGAGTACCACACCCAGCACAGCGGGCAGCTGAGGGAGCGGAGTGGTGACGTCATCGCCCTCGTGCAGCCCCTCAACAGCGCTGACCCCACGTCTGAGAGGTCAGGAGGTCACGGGGCAGGAGTTAGAGGTCACGGGGCAGGAGTTAGAGGTCACGGTGGAGTACCACACCCAGCACAGCGGGCAGCTGAGGGAGCGGAGTGGTGACGTCATCGCCCTCGTGCAGCCCCTCAACAGCGCTGACCCCACGTCTGAGAGGTCAGGAGGTCACGGGGCAGGAGTTAGAGGTCACGGTGGAGTACCACACCCAGCACAGCGGGCAGCTGAGGGAGCGGAGTGGTGACGTCATCGCCCTCGTGCAGCCCCTCAACAGCGCTGACCCCACGTCTGAGAGGTCAGGAGGTCACGGGGCAGGAGTTAGAGGTCACGGGGCAGGAGTTAGAGGTCACGGTGGAGTACCACACCCAGCACAGCGGGCAGCTGAGGGAGCGGAGTGGTGACGTCATCGCCCTCGTGCAGCCCCTCAACAGCGCTGACCCCACGTCTGAGAGGTCAGGAGGTCACGGGGCAGGAGTTAGAGGTCACGGTGGAGTACCACACCCAGCACAGCGGGCAGCTGAGGGAGCGGAGTGGTGACGTCATCGCCCTCGTGCAGCCCCTCAACAGCGCTGACCCCACGTCTGAGAGGTCAGGAGGTCACGGGGCAGGAGTTAGAGGTCACGGGGCAGGAGTTAGAGGTCACGGTGGAGTACCACACCCAGCACAGCGGGCAGCTGAGGGAGCGGAGTGGTGACGTCATCGCCCTCGTGCAGCCCCTCAACAGCGCTGACCCCACGTCTGAGAGGTCAGGAGGTCACGGCGGAGGTGTAGAGGTCACGGGGCAGGAGTTAGAGGTCATGGTGGAGTACCACACCCAGCACAGCGGGCAGCTGAGGGAGCGGAGTGGTGACGTCATCGCCCTCGTGCAGCCCCTCAACAGCGCTGACCCCACGTCTGAGAGGTCAGGAGGTCACGGGGCAGGAGTTAGAGGTCACGGGGCAGGAGTTAGAGGTCATGGTGGAGTACCACACCCAGCACAGCGGGCAGCTGAGGGAGCGGAGTGGTGACGTCATCGCCCTCGTGCAGCCCCTCAACAGCGCTGACCCCACGTCTGAGAGGTCAGGAGGTCACGGGGCAGGAGTTAGAGGTCACGGGGCAGGAGTTAGAGGTCATGGTGGAGTACCACACCCAGCACAGCGGGCAGCTGAGGGAGCGGAGTGGTGACGTCATCGCCCTCGTGCAGCCCCTCAACAGCGCTGACCCCACGTCTGAGAGGTCAGGAGGTCACGGGGCAGGAGTTAGAGGTCACGGTGGAGTACCACACCCAGCACAGCGGGCAGCTGAGGGAGCGGAGTGGTGACGTCATCGCCCTCGTGCAGCCCCTCAACAGCGCTGACCCCACGTCTGAGAGGTCAGGAGGTCACGGCGGAGGAGTTAGAGGTCACGGGGAAGGTATAGAGGTCATGGTGGAGTACCACACCCAGCACAGCGGGCAGCTGAGGGAGCGGAGTGGTGACGTCATCGCCCTCGTGCAGCCCCTCAACAGCGCTGACCCCACGTCTGAGAGGTCAGGAGGTCACGGGGCAGGAGTTAGAGGTCACGGGGCAGGAGTTAGAGGTCACGGTGGAGTACCACACCCAGCACAGCGGGCAGCTGAGGGAGCGGAGTGGTGACGTCATCGCCCTCGTGCAGCCCCTCAACAGCGCTGACCCCACGTCTGAGAGGTCAGGAGGTCACGGGGCAGGAGTTAGAGGTCACGGGGAAGGTATAGAGGTCATGGTGGAGTACCACACCCAGCACAGCGGGCAGCTGAGGGAGCGGAAGTGGTGACGTCATCGCCCTCGTGCAGCCCCTCAACAGCGCTGACCCCACGTCTGAGAGGTCAGGAGGTCACGGCGGAGGTGTAGAGGTCACGGGGCAGGAGTTAGAGGTCACGGTGGAGTACCACACCCAGCACAGCGGGCAGCTGAGGGAGCGGAAGTGGTGACGTCATCGCCCTCGTGCAGCCCCTCAACAGCGCTGACCCCACGTCTGAGAGGTCAGGAGGTCACGGCGGAGGTGTAGAGGTCACGGGGCAGGAGTTAGAGGTCACGGTGGAGTACCACACCCAGCACAGCGGGCAGCTGAGGGAGCGGAGTGGTGACGTCATCGCCCTCGTGCAGCCCCTCAACAGCGCTGACCCCACGTCTGAGAGGTCAGGAGGTCACGGCGGAGGTGTAGAGGTCACGGGGCAGGAGTTAGAGGTCACGGGGCAGGAGTTAGAGGTCACGGTGGAGTACCACACCCAGCACAGCGGGCAGCTGAGGGAGCGGAGTGGTGACGTCATCGCCCTCGTGCAGCCCCTCAACAGCGCTGACCCCACGTCTGAGAGGTCAGGAGGTCACGGGGCAGGAGTTAGAGGTCACGGTAGAGGTGTAGAGGTCACGGTGGAGTACCACACCCAGCACAGCGGGCAGCTGAGGGAGCGGAGTGGTGACGTCATCGCCCTCGTGCAGCCCCTCAACAGCGCTGACCCCACGTCTGAGAGGTCAGGAGGTCACGGCGCAGGAGGTAGAGGTCACGGTAGAGGTGTAGAGGTCACGGTGAAGGTGTAGAGGTCACGGCGGAGGAGTAGAGGTCGCGGTGAAGGTGTAGAGGTCACGGTGAAGGAGTAGAGGTCACGGTGGAGGAGTAGAGGTCATGGTGGAGGTGTAGAGGTCACGGTGAAGGTGTAGAGGTCACGGTGGAGGTGTAGAGGTCACGGTGGAGTAGAGGTCACGGTGGAGGTGTAGAGGTCACGGTGGAGGTGTAGAGGTCACGGTGGAGGTGTAGAGGTCGCGGTGAAGGTGTAGAGGTCACGGTGAAGGAGTAGAGGTCACGGTGAAGGAGTAGAGGTCACGGTGGAGGTGTAGAGGTCACGGTGGAGGTGTAGAGGTCACGGTGAAGGAGTAGAGGTCACGGTGAAGGAGTAGAGGTCACGGTAGAGGTGTAGAGGTCACGGTGAAGGTGTAGAGGTCACGGCGGAGGAGTAGAGGTCACGGTGGAGGTGTAGAGGTCACGGTGGAGGTGTAGAGGTCACGGTGGAGGTGTAGAGGTCACGGTGGAGGTGTAGAGGTCACGGTAGAGGTGTAGAGGTCACGGTGGAGGTGTAGAGGTCACGGTGGAGGTGTAGAGGTCACGGTGGAGGTGTAGAGGTCACGGTAGAGGTGTAGAGGTCACGGTGGAGGTGTAGAGGTCACGGTGGAGGTGTAGAGGTCACGGTAGAGGAGTAGAGGTCACGGTAGAGGAGTAGAGGTCACGGTGGAGGTGTAGAGGTCACGGTAGAGGAGTAGAGGTCACGGTAGAGGAGTAGAGGTCACGGTGGAGGTGTAGAGGTCACAGCGGAGGTGTAGAGGTCACGGTGGGGGAGTAGAGGTCACGGTGGAGATCAAACTGCTCACCTACAGCCACATGCCAAGTGATGGTGGTGTTGATGGTGATGATGATGATGATGATTCCAATTATTCTGATCCCACCCACCTCCACCCCACCCACCCCACCCACCCACCTCCACCCCACCTCCACCCCCCACTCCCCCCCCCACCACCCCCACCCACCAGGTGGTACCACGGCCACATGCCAAGTGACGATGATGATGGTGGTGTTGATGATGGTGACGACGATGATGATTCCAATGATCCTGATCCCACCCACCTCCACCCACCACCCTCCCCCCACTCCCCCCCACCACCACCACCCCCACCCACCAGGTGGTACCACGGCCACATGCCAAGTGACGATGATGATGGTGGTGTTGATGATGGTGACGACGATGATGATTCCAATGATCCTGATCCCACCCACCTCCACCCACCACCCTCCCCCCACTCCCCCCCACCACCACCACCCCCACCCACCAGGTGGTACCACGGCCACATGCCAAGTGACGATGATGATGGTGGTGGTGATGATGGTGACGACGATGATGATTCAAATTATCCTGATCCCACCCACCTCCACCCACCACCCTCCCCCCACTCCCCCCCACCACCACCACCCCCACCCACCAGGTGGTACCACGGCCACATGCCAAGTGATGATGATGATGGTGGTGGTGATGATGGTGACGACGATGATGATGATTCCAATGATCCTGATCCCACCCACCCCACCCACCCCTCCCCCCACCCACCCCACCCACCTCCACCCACCCCAGGTGGTACCACGGCCACATGCCAAGTGACGATGATGATGGTGGTGTTGATGATGGTGACGACGATGATGATTCCAATGATTCTGATCCCACCCACCTCCACCCACCACCCTCCCCCCACTCCCCCCCACCACCACCACTCCCACCCACCAGGTGGTACCACGGCCACATCCCAAGTGACGATGATGATGATGTTGATGGTGATGACGATGATGATTCCAATGATTCTGATCCCACCCACCTCCACCCCACCCACCCCACCCCCACCCTTCCCACCCACCCCCCCACCACTCCCCCCCCACCACCACCACCACCCCCACCCACCAGGTGGTACCACGGCCACATGCCAAGTGACGATGATGATGGTGGTGTTGATGATGGTGACGACGATGATGATTCAAATTATCCTGATCCCACCCACCCCACCCTCCACCCACCCACCCACCCACCCCCCCACCACTCCCCCCACCACCACCACCACCACCACCCCCACCCACCAGGTGGTACCACGGCCACATGCCAAGTGACGATGATGATGATGTTGATGGTGACGACGATGATGATTCCAATGATCCTGATCCCACCCCACCCACCCCACCTCCACCCACCACCACTCCCCCCCCACCACCACCACCACCACCACTCCCACCCACCAGGTGGTACCACGGCCACATGCCAAGTGACGATGATGATGGTGGTGTTGATGATGGTGACGACGATGATGATTCAAATTATCCTGATCCCACCCACCCCACCCTCCACCCACCCACCCACCCACCCCCCCACCACTCCCCCCACCACCACCACCACCACCACCCCCACCCACCAGGTGGTACCACGGCCACATGCCAAGTGACGATGATGATGATGTTGATGGTGACGACGATGATGATTCCAATGATCCTGATCCCACCCCACCCACCCCACCTCCACCCACCACCACTCCCCCCCCACCACCACCACCACTCCCACCCACCAGGTGGTACCACGGCCACATGCCAAGTGACGATGATGATGGTGGTGTTGATGATGGTGACGACGATGATGATTCAAATTATCCTGATCCCACCCACCCCACCCTCCACCCACCCACCCACCCACCCCCCCACCACTCCCCCCACCACCACCACCACCACCACCCCCACCCACCAGGTGGTACCACGGCCACATCCCAAGTGACGATGATGATGATGTTGATGGTGACGACGATGATGATTCCAATGATCCTGATCCCACCCCACCCACCCCACCTCCACCCTCCCCCCCACCACTCCCCCCCCCACCACCCCCACCCACCAGGTGGTACCACGGCCACATGCCAAGTGACGATGATGATGGTGGTGATGGTGATGACGATGATGATTCCAATTATCCTGATCCCACCCACCCCACCCACCCACCCTCCCCACCACTCCCCCCCACCACCACCACTCCCACCCCCCAGGTGGTATCACAGCCACATGCCAAGTGATGATGTTGATGATGTTGATGGTGATGACGATGATGATTCAAATGATTCTGATCCCACCCACCCCACCCACCCCCCCCACCCACCTCCACCCCCCACTCCCCCCCCCACCACCCCCACCCACCAGGTGGTACCACGGCCACATGCCAAGTGACGATGATGATGGTGGTGTTGATGATGGTGACGACGACGATGATTCCAATTATTCTGATCCCACCCACCCCACCCCACCTCCACCCACCCACCCTCCCCCCCACCACTCCCCCCCACCACCACCACCACTCCCACCCACCAGGTGGTACCACGGCCACATGCCAAGTGATGACGATGATGATGGTGGTGTTGATGATGGTGACGACGATGATGATTCCAATGATCCTGATCCCACCCACCCCACCTCCACCCACCACCACTCCCCCCCCCCACCACTCCCCCCCCCCCACCACCACCACCACCACCACCACTCCCACCCACCAGGTGGTACCACGGCCACATGCCCGGCCGCGAGGCGGAGCGCCTGCTGCTGGAGCGAGGCCGCGTGGGGAGCTTTCTGGTGCGAGAGAGCGCCAGCAAGCCCGGCTCCTGCGTGCTCTCAGCTCGTACAGACGCCGCAGTGGGGGGAGGGGGAGGGGGAGGAGGGGGAGGAGCAACAGCGGGAGGGGGAGGAGCAACAGCGGGAGGGGGAGGAGCAACAGCGGGAGGGGGAGGGGCCACGGCGAGCGTCACGCACATCATGATCCACTGGGCGGTAAATTGTGTCACTCTGTCATTCTGTCACACTGTGTGTGTGTCTGTGTGTGTGTCACTATGTGTGTGTGTGTCACTGTGTGTGTGTGTGTCACTGTGTGTGTCACTGTGTGTGTGTGTCACTGTGTGTGTGTGTCACTGTGTGTGTGTGTGTGTCACTGTGTGTGTGTGTCACTCTGTCATTCTGTCACTGTGTGTGTGTATCTGTGTGTGTGTCACTGTGTGTGTCACTGTGTGTGCGTGTCACTGTGTGTGTGTGTCACTCTGTGTGTGTGTGTCACTGTGTGTGTGTCACTGTGTGTGTGTCACTGTGTGTGTGTGTCAGTGTGTGTGTCTGTGTCACTGTGTGTGTGTCACTGTGTGTGTGTGTGTCACTGTGTGTGTCTGTGTCACTATGTGTGTGTCACTGTGTGTGTGTCACTGTGTGTGTGTGTCACTGTGTGTGTCACTGTGTGTGTCACTGTGTGTGTGTGTCACTGTGTGTGTGTCACTGTGTGTGTGTCACTGTGTGTGTGTGTGTCCTTGTGTGTGTGTCCTTGTGTGTGTGTCACTGTGTGTGTGTCACTGTGTGTGTGTGTCACTGTGTGTGTGTGTCACTGTGTGTGTACACTGTGTGTCTGTGTGTGTGTCACTGTGTGTGTGTGTGTCTGTGTGTGTCACTGTGTGTGTACAGTGTGTCTGTGTGTGTGTGACTGTGTCACTGTGTGTGTGTATGTCACTGTGTGTCTGTGTGTGTGTATGTCACTGTGTGTCACTGTGTCACTGTGTGTGTGTGTGACTGTATGTCACTGTGTGTATGTCACTGTGTGTCTGTGTGTGTGTCACTGTGTCACTGTGTGTGTGTGACTGTATGTCACTGTGTGTATGTCACTGTGTGTCTGTGTGTGTGTATGTCACTGTGTGTGTATGTCACTGTGTGTCACTGTGTCACTGTGTGTGTGTGTGACTGTATGTCACTGTGTCACTGTGTGTGTGTGTGACTGTATGTCACTGTGTGTATGTTACTGTGTGTCTGTGTGTGTGTGTCTGTGTGTGTGTGTCACTGTGTGTACACTGTGTGTCTGTGTGTGTGTCGCTGTGTGTGTGTGTGTCACTGTGTGTGTCACTGTGTGTGTGACTGTGTGTGTGAGTGTGTGTGTGACTGTGTATGTCACTGTGTGTATGTCACTGTGTGTCTGTGTGTGTGTGTCACTGTGTGTGTACACTGTGTGTCACTGTGTGTGTGTGTCACTGTGTGTGTGACTGTGTGTGTGACTGTGTCACTCTGTGTGTGTGTGTGACTGTGTGTGTCACTGTGTGTGTGTGTGTCTGTGTGTGTGTGTCACTGTGTGTGTACACTGTGTGTGTGTGTCACTGTGTGTGTACACTGTGTGTGTGTGTGTCACTGTGTGTGTCACTGTGTGTCTGTGTGTGTGTGTGTCTGTGTGTGTGTATGTCACTGTGTGTGACTGTATGTCACTGTGTGTGTGTGTGACTATGTCACTGTGTGTGTCTGTGTGTGTCTGTGTGTGTGTGACTATGTCACTGTGTGTGTGTACACTGTGTGTCTGTGTGTGTGTGTGACTGTGTGTGTGACTGTGTCTGTGTGTGTCACTGTGTGTGTATGTCACTGTGTGTGTCACTGTATGTGTCACTGTGTACACTGTGTGTGTGTGTCACTGTGTGTGTGTGTCACTGTGTGTGTACACTGTGTGTGTGTGACTGTGTGTCTGTGTGTGTGTGTGACTGTGTGTGTGATTGTGTGTGTGTGTGACTGTGTGTGTGACTGTGTGTGTGTGTCATTGTGTGTGTGTCACTGTGTGTGTGTCACTGTGTGTGTGTCTGTGTGTGTGTGTCACTGTGTGTGTGTCACTGTGTGTGTACACTGTGTGTGTGTGTGACTGTGTGTCACTGTGTGTGTGTCACTGTGTGTGTGTCACTGTGTGTGTACACTGTGTGTGTGTGACTGTGTGTCACTGTGTGTGTGTCACTGTGTGTGTGTCACTGTGTGTGTACACTGTGTGTGTGTGTGACTGTGTGTCACTGTGTGTGTGTGTCACTGTGTGTGTGTCACTGTGTGTGTACACTGTGTGTGTGTGTGTCACTGTGTGTCACTGTGTGTGTGTCACTGTGGGTGTGTCACTGTGTGTGTACACTGTGTGTGTGTGTCACTGTGTGTCACTGTGTGTGTGTCACTGTGTGTGTGTGACTGTGTGTGTCACTGTGTGTGTGTGTGACTGTGTGTGTGTGTCACTGTGTGTGTGTGTCACTGTGTGTGTGTGTGACTGTGTGTGTGACTGTGTGTGTGACTGTGTGTGTGTGTCACTGTGTGTGTGTGTCACTGTGTGTGTGTGTGACTGTGTGTGTGACTGTGTGTGTGTGTCACTGTGTGTGTGTGTCACTGTGTGTGTGTGTGACTGTGTGTGTGACTGTGTGTGTGTGTGACTGTGTGTGTGTGTCACTGTGTGTGTGTGTGACTGTGTGTGTGTGTGACTGTGTGTGTGTGTCACTGTGTGTGTCACTGTGTGTGTGTGTGACTGTGTGTGTGTGTGACTGTGTGTCACTGTGTGTGTGTCACTGTGTGTGTGTGACTGTGTGTGTGTGACTGTGTATGTCACTGTGTGTGTCACTGTATGTGTCACTGTGTGTGTGACTGTGTGTGTGTGTCACTGTGTGTGTGTCACTGTGTGTGTGTGTGACTGTGTGTGTGTGTCACTGTGTGTGTGTCACTGTGTATGTCACTGTGTGTGTCACTGTATGTGTCACTGTGTGTGTGACTGTGTGTGTGTGTCACTGTGTGTGTGTCACTGTGTGTGTGTGTGACTGTGTGTGTGTGTCACTGTGTGTGTGTCACTGTGTATGTCACTGTGTGTGTCACTGTATGTGTCACTGTGTGTCTGTGTCTCTCCCTCACATCTCACCGCCTGTCTGTCTCTCTCTATGCCCCTCCCCCCCCCTATGCCCCGCCCCCTCCCCCCCCCTGTGCCCCGCCCCCTCCACCCCTCCCCACATGCCCCCCCCCTCCACCCCTCCCCCCCATTCGCCCCCCCCCAGAGTGGAAAGTGTCACGTGGGTGGGAAGCGATTTGACAGTTTGCCGGACCTCATAGAACACTACCGGGAACACCCCATGACAGAGGAGAGTGGAGTTGTTGTACAGCTGTCTCATGTAAGTGTTATAGTACTGGTACTATTACTATAGTACTATAGTACTATAGTAACTACCGTGAACACCCCATGACAGAGGAGAGTGGAGTTGTTGTACAGCTGTCTCATGTAAGTGTTATAGTACTGGTACTATTACTATAGTACTAGTACTATAGTAACTACCGTGAACACCCCATGACAGAGGAGAGTGGAGTTGTTGTACAGCTGTCTCATGTAAGTCTTATAGTACTGGTACTATTACTATAGTACTAGTACTATAGTAGTAGTAGTAATACCGTGAACACCCCATGACAGAGGAGAGTGGAGTTGTTGTACAGCTGTCTCATGTAAGTCTTATAGTACTGGTACTATTACTATAGTACTAGTACTATAGTAGTAGTAGTAATACCGTGAACACCCCATGACAGAGGAGAGTGGAGTTGTTGTACAGCTGTCTCATGTAAGTCTTATAGTACTGGTACTATTACTATAGTACTAGTACTATAGTAACTACCGTGAACACCCCATGACAGAGGAGAGTGGAGTTGTTGTACAGCTGTCTCATGTAAGTCTTATAGTACTGGTACTATTACTATAGTACTAGTACTATAGTAACTACCGTGAACACCCCATGCCAGAGGAGAGTGGAGTTGTTGTACAGCTGTCTCATGTAAGTCTTATAGTACTGGTACTATTACTATAGTACTAGTACTCTAGTAACTACCGTGAACACCCCATGACAGAGGAGAGTGGAGTTGTTGTACAGCTGTCTCATGTAAGTCTTATAGTACTGGTACTATTACTATAGTACTAGTACTATAGTAACTACCGTGAACACCCCATGACAGAGGAGAGTGGAGTTGTTGTACAGCTGTCTCATGTAAGTGTTATAGTACTGGTACTATAGTACTATAGTACTAGTACTATAGTAACTACCGTGAACACCCCATGACAGAGGAGAGTGGAGTTGTTGTACAGCTGTCTCATGTAAGTCTTATAGTACTGGTACTATTACTATAGTACTAGTACTATAGTAACTACCGTGAACACCCCATGACAGAGGAGAGTGGAGTTGTTGTACAGCTGTCTCATGTAAGTCTTATAGTACTGGTACTATTACTATAGTACTAGTACTCTAGTAACTACCGTGAACACCCCATGACAGAGGAGAGTGGAGTTGTTGTACAGCTGTCTCATGTAAGTCTTATAGTACTGGTACTATTACTATAGTACTAGTACTATAGTAACTACCGTGAACACCCCATGACAGAGGAGAGTGGAGTTGTTGTACAGCTGTCTCATGTAAGTGTTATAGTACTGGTACTATAGTACTATAGTACTAGTACTATAGTAACTACCGTGAACACCCCATGACAGAGGAGAGTGGAGTTGTTGTACAGCTGTCTCATGTAAGTCTTATAGTACTGGTACTATTACTATAGTACTAGTACTATAGTAACTACCGTGAACACCCCATGACAGAGGAGAGTGGAGTTGTTGTACAGCTGTCTCATGTAAGTCTTATAGTACTGGTACTATTACTATAGTACTAGTACTATAGTAACTACCGTGAACACCCCATGACAGAGGAGAGTGGAGTTGTTGTACAGCTGTCTCATGTAAGTGTTATAGTACTGGTACTATAGTACTATAGTACTAGTACTATAGTACTAGTACTATAGTACTACTACTACTATAGTACTAGTACTATAGTAGTAGTAGTAATACCGTGAACACCCCATGACAGAGGAGAGTGGAGTTGTTGTACAGCTGTCTCATGTAAGTCTTATAGTACTGGTACTATTACTATAGTACTAGTACTATAGTAACTACCGTGAACACCCCATGACAGAGGAGAGTGGAGTTGTTGTACAGCTGTCTCATGTAGGTCTTATAGTACTGGTACTATTACTATAGTACTAGTACTATAGTAACTACCGTGAACACCCCATGACAGAGGAGAGTGGAGTTGTTGTACAGCTGTCTCATGTAAGTCTTATAGTACTGGTACTATTACTATAGTACTAATACTATAGTAACTACCGTGAACACCCCATGACAGAGGAGAGTGGAGTTGTTGTACAGCTGTCTCATGTAAGTCTTATAGTACTGGTACTATTACTATAGTACTAGTACTATAGTAACTACCGTGAACACCCCATGACAGAGGAGAGTGGAGTTGTTGTACAGCTGTCTCATGTAAGTGTTATAGTACTGGTACTATAGTACTATAGTACTAGTACTATAGTAGTAGTAGTAACTACCGTGAACACCCCATGACAGAGGAGAGTGGTGTGGTTGTACAGCTGTCTCATGTAAGTGTTGTAGTACTGGTACTATTATTATACTACTAGTACTATAGTAGTAGTAATGCCGTGAACACCCCATGACAGAGGAGAGTGGAGTTGTTGTACAGCTGTCTCATGTAAGTGTTATAGTACTGGTACTATTACTATAGTACTAGTACTATAGTTATAGTAGTAATACCGTGAACACCCCATGACAGAGGAGAGTGGAGTTGTTGTACAGCTGTCTCATGTAAGTGTTATAGTACTGGTACTATTACTATAGTACCAGTACTATAGTAGTAGTAGTGACTACCGTGAACACCCCATGACAGAGGAGAGTGGAGTTGTTGTACAGCTGTCTCATGTAAGTCTTATAGTACTGGTACTATTACTATAGTACTAGTACTATAGTAATACCGTGAACACCCCATGACAGAGGAGAGTGGAGTTGTTGTACAGCTGTCTCATGTAAGTCTTATAGTACTGGTACTATTACTATAGTACTAGTACTATAGTAGTAGTAGTAATACCGTGAACACCCCATGACAGAGGAGAGTGGAGTTGTTGTACAGCTGTCTCATGTAAGTCTTATAGTACTGGTACTATTACTATAGTACTAGTACTATAGTAATACCGTGAACACCCCATGACAGAGGAGAGTGGAGTTGTTGTACAGCTGTCTCATGTAAGTGTTATAGTACTGGTACTATTACTATAGTACTAGTACTATAGTACTAGTAGTAATACCGTGAACACCCCATGACAGAGGAGAGTGGAGTTGTTGTACAGCTGTCTCATGTAAGTGTTATAGTACTGGTACTATTACTATAGTACTATAGTAGTAGTAATACCGTGAACACCCCATGACAGAGGAGAGTGGAGTTGTTGTACAGCTGTCTCATGTAAGTGTTATAGTACTGGTACTATTACTATAGTACTAGTACTATAGTAGTAGTAGTAATACCGTGAACACCCCATGACAGAGGAGAGTGGAGTTGTTGTACAGCTGTCTCATGTAAGTCTTATAGTACTGGTACTATTACTATAGTACTAGTACTATAGTGATACCGTGAACACCCCATGACAGAGGAGAGTGGAGTTGTTGTACAGCTGTCTCATGTAAGTCTTATAGTACTGGTACTATTACTATAGTACTATAGTAGTAGTAATACCGTGAACACCCCATGACAGAGGAGAGTGGAGTTGTTGTACAGCTGTCTCATGTAAGTCTTATAGTACTGGTACTATTACTATAGTACTAGTACTATAGTAACTACCGTGAACACCCCATGACAGAGGAGAGTGGAGTTGTTGTACAGCTGTCTCATGTAAGTGTTATAGTACTGGTACTATTACTATAGTACTAGTACTATAGTAATAGTAGTAATACCGTGAACACCCCATGACAGAGGAGAGTGGAGTTGTTGTACAGCTGTCTCATGTAAGTCTTATAGTACTGGTACTATTACTATAGTACTAGTACTATAGTACTAGTAGTAATACCGTGAACACCCCATGACAGAGGAGAGTGGAGTTGTTGTACAGCTGTCTCATGTAAGTCTTATAGTACTGGTACTATTACTATAGTACTAGTACTATAGTAGTAGTACTAGTACTATAGTAGTAGTAGTAATACCGTGAACACCCCATGACAGAGGAGAGTGGAGTTGTTGTACAGCTGTCTCATGTAAGTCTTATAGTACTGGTACTATTACTATAGTACCAGTACTATAGTAACTACCGTGAACACCCCATGACAGAGGAGAGTGGAGTTGTTGTATAGCTGTCTCATGTAAGTCTTATAGTACTGGTACTATTACTATAGTACTAGTACTATAGTAACTACCGTGAACACCCCATGACAGAGGAGAGTGGAGTTGTTGTACAGCTGTCTCATGTAAGTCTTATAGTACTGGTACTATAGTACTATAGTACTAGTACTTTAGTAACTACCGTGAACACCCCATGACAGAGGAGAGTGGAGTTGTTGTACAGCTGTCTCATGTAAGTCTTATAGTACTGGTACTATTACTATAGTACTAGTACTATAGTAGTAGTACTAATACCGTGAACACCCCATGACAGAGGAGAGTGGAGTTGTTGTACAGCTGTCTCATGTAAGTCTTATAGTACTGGTACTATTACTATAGTACTAGTACTATAGTAATAGTAGTAATACCGTGAACACCCCATGACAGAGGAGAGTGGAGTTGTTGTACAGCTGTCTCATGTAAGTCTTATAGTACTGGTACTATTACTATAGTACTAGTACTATAGTAACTACCGTGAACACCCCATGACAGAGGAGAGTGGAGTTGTTGTACAGCTGTCTCATGTAAGTCTTATAGTACTGGTACTATTACTATAGTACTAGTACTATAGTAACTACCGTGAACACCCCATGACAGAGGAGAGTGGAGTTGTTGTACAGCTGTCTCATGTAAGTGTTATAGTACTGGTACTATAGTACTATAGTACTAGTACTATAGTAACTACCGTGAACACCCCATGACAGAGGAGAGTGGAGTTGTTGTACAGCTGTCTCATGTAAGTCTTATAGTACTGGTACTATTACTATAGTACTAGTACTATAGTAACTACCGTGAACACCCCATGACAGAGGAGAGTGGAGTTGTTGTACAGCTGTCTCATGTAAGTCTTATAGTACTGGTACTATTACTATAGTACTAGTACTATAGTAACTACCGTGAACACCCCATGACAGAGGAGAGTG